TTCACTTTTTCTCCTTTTCTTTCTTCTCCGTTTTGTGTTTCTTAATATTGTGTCCTTGGTTCACAACTCTCCTCACTGTTCAGTTTTTCTCCTCACTTTTTACATCCTTCTGGGTGATCTCACCCACCAAACAACATATGCCAGGTCTTCATTTTGAATATTCACTGTCTGCCAGCATCGCTCAGATAGCCCATGAAGAACTCAGTGGCCTTCTCTCCTCTTTCCAGAACTCACTTCCCTTTTCCTATTTCTCCTCTGTAAATTTCACTAGACCTCCCTGGTCTCACAAGCCAGAAGCCTAATGAATTTACCTCCTCAGGGTCTTAATTCTGTCCTCGCTTTTACATGATTTCTATCACTAACTAACTCTGCAACAGCCTCCAAATTAGCCTCCGTTGTAGTTTTGCTGTGGTACCTACCCCATCCCCAACCCAAGCCCAATGTCCCCAGACACACACCACAGCCAAGTCTGCACTCTTAACTCCTAACAGAGTGATATTTCCCTCTTTAAAAACAAACAAACCAACAAACAGACACAATCCTGGGACATGGGATACTCTCCAAAGCCTGGTGTTGCCCATCACCTCTGAGGCCATGTTCTAGAGCCTGCCTGCTACTTGAGGTTTTAGTAACACTTGTCGCTTGTAGTTCCCCTACTCCAGGTCCATTCACACCTAGCACCTGTTTGCCACCTCCATGGACTTCTTTACCCTTCTATCTCTTTGATTCTCTCTCCCTTCTCATCCCCCCAATGCTGCCCCACCCCCCATCGAGTCCCTTTGCACTCCTCTAGAAGCCTGTCAACATCTCTGTTAATTCAGCATTTTCACTTATCACATTATATGAAAATTCTCTGCTTATGTGTCTTTTTTATGCTGCCATAGTGTGCTTCTCAAAAGCAAGGACTGTCACATCTGTCTTTGCATCCCCAAGGAAAAAATGAGGACTTGGCATATATTGGACAATCGAAGCTTACTGAAAGTAGTTTATTGAACTAAACAGCATGGCTAGAGTTTAAGGCAGCTGCTAATTGGTTGACAAAAGCAAGACATTATTGTGATGTGTCCTCAGTTTTTCCTCTGATTGTAAAGGATAGATAACCTCATTCAAGAAAATTAAAATGAATGGAGAATTTATTATAGAAATGTACTGGAACTGGGGAAATGAGGCCTCTCTGAAGACCTGCTATTTGTTATTTATGCTTCTCTTTCTCATGACCCATGTGCTCATAGAGACACTTTCTCAAGTGTCTCTGATTCTCAATATATTTGATCCTCGTAGATCTGGTGGACCACAGACCCTCAAGCTTCCCAATCTACTTAAAGCCTTCTCCCTCTCTTGATCTTCCTCTTTCTCCCTCTGCATTCTAATCCCCTTAGTAATGGCCTGTTTCCCAATAAATATTTCTCAGACTGAAAAAAATCTAATTGCACCCTCAACTTCATGTACTAGGTGACTGCTCTTCGTTTAATCAGCTGTTAGGTGTGGAGCAGAGAGGCAGGCAGAGTGATATGGTCTTTCACTAGAAGCTATGGATGGGGCAGAGGCTATGGTCTTTCAAGGAACCATGGTGGGACTCAGTGAGTGTCTGCTGGCAGGGTGGGGGTTAAAGGACAGTCAAGTACCTGACCTGCCTTCAAGGAGTGCACAATTCAGTCACACACACTTGACGGTAATACCAGACAGATGAATGTAAAAACCAAGAAACTCAAAAAGCTCAATCAAAATGCTATGAGAGTTCCAAGGTGGGAGCAGTTCCAAGGTAGCTGCTGTCAATACTGTAATTGTTGTCACTGTCTATGAAGGCTCCATTTCAGTTTTGATACTAATTCATGGGTGCAGGTTGTGGGGAGACCTTCCAGTTGTGCCAAACCAGTCCATATTTGCCCCCATTTGGAACATGTTGTTCAAAACCAGTGAAGACCCCCCATTGACAAATTTCCATTATTTAATCAATCAAAAAGTTACATTCGATTTATGTATGAAAAATCAAACTTAGAAGTCAACAGATTTAGATATTACCATACAATCTCCCTCATAAATAAATCTGTTTTTAAGTCAGAAATGCCTAACAAGCTACTGCAGCTCTCTTGGTCCAGCTGGCTATTTAATCAGATTAGTACAAAACAGGCAATTTAGTTCGTGTCAATAGAAGGGCCTTGTTCAAATTACCCATTTATTAATTCTTAAGAGGTTAATAAATAACCTACTTTGAATAAAATAAATCACTGCAGATAACAGTTGTGTTCCTGGCACGTATAAGAGTTAATAGATGCATGAAAATTGCTAGGTATGAAGGTTACTGGATCTACACAAACCCTAGATTCTTGCAACTGTGTTCATACTGGAGCCGGATTGGCCCACCTCCAGCTGAAAATAATTTTCTTGAAGCAATGTTCTTTTTCTTCTACCAACTGAAAGCCTTAACTCCTCTGTAGGAAAAAAAAATATCAACCAAATTTAAACTTGACCTCATTTCACACCTAGGTACATTATTCTGATTGTTTCACTGGACTCCTCAGTGAGCACATTTGCTTTTGTTACAAATCTGAAACTGTATTCTACTTGGCCCATTTTATCAGATAGCAGAATCTAGAAATATAGAAAGAAAATTTTTAAAAGTTCAATGTCATAATGATTCTGTTATAGAGAAATAATCTTTTTGCTCTTGGTCATGTAGGTAGTATTCACTGCTAGTCTTAAATTTTCACTTCCCCGATAAATTTTAATTTGCCTTAGCTTGTAAGAAATAATAACAAAAGAAACAAAAAGGCAGGTTACCTGAGAATTACGTCTATAAGTAAATACATATCATTTGGACCATCAGGTGTTGATGTTTGTGTGAGCTAATTTGCTTTAATATTACCAGCTAGAAATACGCAGGCTTCCAACCCCAAGTCACTTTTGTATATAGTATCCTTTCTTCTGTGGGCAGCTATGTGCCCTCGTGAACACCTGGTTAAGAACATGCTCACTTTCATGTGTGCTCTGAGCTGCTGCTCCTCCAAATAAAAATAGAAACTAGTCTGCAACACCACACGGGGCTCCCCTGTATGATATGAGCCTATCACTGGTTTCCTTTGATATCTTATCTATTCCATTAACTCAATAAAATAGAGCGCAAAGTTAAGGACAAACTGTAGGAGGGCTCCCCTTGGAAAACACACACAAGACCTTTAAGCTGGGGTTTTAACTTATCGAATAAAAACCAGTTAAATGGAAGCTAATACTTCATTTTCACCCCCTTTATTAAAGATCATAAGTACTACAATTCAGGAGTAGAGAAAATAAAATAAATATATGAAGGAGTACAGGTGGAAGCAATAAAGAGTATGGCTTAACTATTTTCTCAAGATTTAGGAAGCACTTAAAGGCAAAACTACAGACAAGCACTTTAAAATTCTACAACAAAGGCTCCTTAACAAACACAGTGGTCCTTTCTGGATGCAGAAATCTGGCTTGATTTCTTAGCAGAAGATAAACAGCTTAACCGAGGCATAATCAGGGAAGATGCCACCTACTACTTCCTCCATATTATACTTTTATGTCAATTTAGTAATTCAGAGAAAAATTAGATTGTTTAATCCACTCCCCTGCTCCTCCACCACCCAAAGAAAAACAATAGTATAACTCAAACTCTTATAAACCAAACTAAAGGGAAGTGTTCCACCTAGAGACTGTTTTCGTGAGTCCAAGCAGATGAGAGCTTATCTAGGAATGAAGATGATTTTAACCTAGGCTAGCAAGTTTGTAGTAAAAAGAGAAGCAAAAGGTATTGCCCCTGGTGTAATTAACAGTGTTAATCTTCCTTTTCCTCTCTATGGTGATAAAGGAGTCATTTTTATATTTAATTAATGCAGAGGATCATTTTGGAAAGTGGCTAATGAGCCTCTGATCACATTACCATGAAAATGTGCATTAACATTGCAACTAAGGAGGCTGTTTCATGTGTAGCAAATCCACTTTGTAATTAGCCCACTGTGAAATGAATCATGTCAGGGGGAAATCTGAGGGAACCAGTAGGCAGTGGGCACTTGGCGACTGCTGTGCCCACAGACCACCAACATCCCAAACATTGTCTTTCATCAGCAATATCATCTAAAAACAAAAGTAGTAGTGTGTCACATCTGGGACAAACTGGGAGAAGGAAGGAATAAACTTTATTTTGCCAAACAAGAAATTTGGACTTCATACACCCCCAGGGAAACCTGCCTAAATAAAATGGTGAATTAATAGAATCCTATGAAAACTCTGAAGGCTGGGAATATCATTTTCTTATTTTTATTCTGAAAAGCCCTCAGATATACATTAAAGGGACATCCAAATTTACACACATTTTTCCTTTTTATTACAATACAAATATTGTAATAAGCTCTTGAAATTCATTTCTAGTGCTAAACAAAGAAATTATAAAAAGGATCCAAGAACAAATGATAAGAAAATTCCTTTATCTACTTTTTTAATCCAAGCCGAGACATAGCATGTATTTTTTCTCATAAAATACAAATATACCAGGTCTTCCTCTTAAAACCAAAGCACAAATTCCTAATTAGTCAAATAATTCCTCTGACAAGATTTGGCAAGAAACTTTTCCTGTCTATTCCAAATAACTGAGCTCACAGACCTATTAAATCCCAATATTTATGCAGACAATGATACATTTGATTTTCAAATGTCAACACTATTCCAAAATGAAAGAGGGGCTTCAAAATATTACAGACATGGATCTCAGTGTTACTCCTTTTACTTAACTGACATCTTGGCAGTAGATACAAAAAAATGTTAAAAAGAATCCCACAGGAAGTCATCTGAAGGGGGAGTGGCAAGGAAGCTGAAAACTGCCACCCCAAACCAAAATAAAAAGCCCCCAGCCAGCAAGTCTGCCCTTCATTCTGAAATCTACAGAAAGAAAAAATAAAGCTAGCCACAGTTCATTTACCATTTTTCAGACAAACACAAAGCCTGGCTATTTAGTTGCTGGTAACAGACCCTGCACTCACCTGGGAAACTTCATACAGCAGTTTGTAGTGTTCCTCTCTTTTCTGAAAAGTGCACAAATTGCAGCCCATTCTAACAAGCAGAGAGAGAGAGCAAATCTTCTAATTTCCCCAGGACTGAAAGGCAAGTGAACTGAAAGGGAATCACCCTCCAGACTTGACTACTGTTTTTCATCAGTCACTTCAGTCCAGAAACACAGACAAACCGCTGTTAGCTGGAAGCACAAGCCAGGGTGCTGTGTAGCAGCATGCTCTTCTTCGCTTTCCCTAAGTATCTTGCACTCACGGATACACACACAGAGTTTCCAGTCAGTTCATGGCAACACTCCCCCTGTCTCTGCATCAGTGCACATGACTACACAGATTCCAGCTCATGAATATTAATAGTACCTCATTGATTATTTATGACAGAACATGTTAGCAGGGAGGGGTGTCATAGCTGCTGCTGGTGACAGATGAATATTCACTAATTAAGAAGCAAATGTAGTGTGGTTAAACAAAATTCACTTGTGTCAATACCATCTCTGTTTATTAAGGATAGAGGGGTTGAGCATAGGGCATTTCAAAGAAGAACATACACTTAATTTATCCATTAATGTAAGCTTTTAATATGGGAGTAAGAAATAGAAATATTATACTTAGTTCACATCTCCATGTTTTGTCACAATTAGAAGAAATATTTTCAGTATTACTAAGTCTAGGGGAAGATGGATAGGAGCAATTATTTAAATTTATAAAATAAACACAGAGGTAAAGGAAAATTTGGGGAGTGATGTGGGAAAGGAACAGAAGATGGGGGGGTGTCATTCAGAGTTTTAATCCTGATCCTACAAAAATAACTGAATAGTTCATATGTAAAGACCATTACTTACTAGGGAGGAAATAAGGCATATTTTCTTAATCTAAATAAAGAATATTTAAGCAAGTATCAGTAAATATACTTATACAGATAATAAATATTTTAATTAGATAATGGGGCATATCTATTGAATGTAAATTTGCAGCCCTGTAATACATGCAGGTCTATATTTTAAAATTAGATAAACATAATGCCTTTTCTGAGAAAAATTTCAAACGCATATAGTATTTATGCTAATTTTATTAAAGTCATATATAATATTTCAGAAAGCTGACACTGGTAATATTTAAATTCTAATGTAATGCACATTGACTCCATTTATGTTCTATACTTAGAGTTCATAATATACAAAGGTGAACACAGACTTAAAAACTAAACTTAAATGTTTAGATAATAGAAGTAATGGATTTAATTTCATACTCTTGCAATATATATATTATATTGCAAGCTGGCATTTTTTGTCCCTTAAAGATATGCTGCAAACAGCTAAAGCAGATAATAAAAGAAAATTCCTTTTGTTCCTGTACTGACTTATCCACAACCTCTGCTAATTAAGAAGTATGTCCTTGTACCAGCACATCTTTAAACTGGACAGGATAGCAGGTGGGTTCCAAAGCAAAAATAATTACTTGGAAACTGATGACTCTGGTTAGGAATTACATTGGATCCTGAAGATTTTTAATTGCTCAGCACTTATGGATAGCTACTTTTGGGGGTCCAGTTTCCTAAAAGTGCTTTGTCAAATGTTTAGAATCGATAACAGGAAATGATTCTAATGAGTACTAATTGTTAACAAATTGGCTTTGCAACTAGCAACACCTCAACACCAGCAAGGAGCCAGGAGATAAGCAATCATCTGCTGCTTATCAGTCATTTCCCTTGGGATGTAATAATCCGATTTTCTGGGCCTAATTTCACCTAACAGCCTGGATGAAAGCCAAGCTAAGAGAACTAGATGAAAGCGGCATCATAATTGAGGACCTGATATGAACAAAGTTTACCAGGACTTCCTGCAAATTAGAAACCACTTGTAGTAAATATCAATTATTTTGATTCCTTTATGAAAAGGATATTTCAAGGAAGTATTTGAGGGGACCTTTGTGAAAGTCAGTTGTGGCCACAAACAGATGCAACCTCCTTAGGTGCAGTTGTAAAATATATATGTTTGATGCTTTTTAAAATTTTAATTTTCTTTGAGTCTCTACACCACTTCCCATGAAGTGTTCTTATGCTAGAGATCACATCCTCAAAGCAAGCATTGATTGTTTTTTGAAGGATTCTATATTGCTGAGCTGTGATAGAATTAATGACTCTCAGATGTTTAAATTCTGTGCTTTAAAAAGTCAGATCAAGGAATTAGAATGCAGTAAGGCAAGGATGGTTCACTCATCTATCAATGAAAGTGTTTGCTTCCCTCACTGATAAAAGTCTTTATGCAACAGGTTTTGAAAGCTAAGTAGGAAACAATTATTGAAGCTATGGTTGCTTATTGGGGCTTTCTTATAATATTTTGTAGTTGGCTTGTAAAGAAAAATTAAATAATCACAGCTTTAAAATATTTTCTTAGTCATAAAAATGTAAAGAACAAACAGTGAAGTAAGAAATTTCAAATTAAAGCTATTCTTTCAGCAACAGCTTTTTGGCTGTTTTCTTTTTTCTTTCTCAGGAAGCAAGGGCAGCTTCTCCAATCATTTATCAAATGCTGCCCTTGGCCCATGCACCTTGGAAAGATTCCATCTTTTGCTCCTAATGGGTTCATCCTGGAGAATTGAAAGGTGATTTGAAAAAAAGAACTATAATTCCAAATTTCTCTAAATTTCAATAGAGAATGAGGGTTAGATTTTTCCAATGACTAAACTGTGAAATCTTGTATTAGAATATAAAGTTTGAAGCAAATAGAGACAAACGAGTTAACCTGAACAATGTTTTAACAATGCAAATAGATTAGATATTATCTGTCTTGGACAGTAATAATATGGAAGAGTATGGGTTAAAAATAAACAGAGAATAGATGTTTATCTTCCCAAATATCCTTAGGAACAAATTCATCAAAGTGTAAAAACATATGTTGGGTTGGGTATATATTTCAAGATATAGTTGTTTATTTTAATTGCTTTTAATTTATGTTGGTTTACTCCCCTCAAACGCAGTGGCATTCAAAATAGGAGATATTCATCAAGATCTGGACTGCTATATAAGAGGGCTCAGTGAGAAGTAAATGAAAGAAAGGAATCCAGCATTTATCTTGCTTTTCCTATATAAACAGTACTACTAGACTAACCAAATAGTAGATGAGAGGAAGTTTCTCTTTATAGAATTATGCCAGCTAACAAACGAAAAACAGGAATGATAGAGCATGCCCATGCCAGCAGCCCTTAATTATCTAATGGACCTAGTAGTGAGAATTAATGGCTGCTGACATGACACACTCACGCATACACACACACAGGAGATAACTGGACATTGTGTACCACCTGACAGAAGAAAATGACACCTTTCCAAAATCGGGTCTTTCCTAAAGTTGAGCAAATTACATGGAATGTGGAGGACCAAGGAACATATTAAATTATGCCATGGAGATGCAGTCAGCCAAATTCAGACTGTGGGCAACTCAATATCGATAGATACACATTCCAGTTTCTGAGAGAGAAGGAGTGAGTGAGAGAGAGGAAGAGAGAGGCAAGAGGGGAAGGGAGCTAGAGAGAGGGAGATATGCTGGCTAGGAAGTCTACAGATTAAAAGAGACTTTAATGACATTTTATAAACAGACATTACTAAGCTATATGTTTGGGTATGCAAATCATTTGGGTGATAAAATGATAAATAAACCTAAGAAAATGATTACCAAAAAAGTCAAGAGGATGTTTACTCCTTAGGGGTAGAGAGGGGGTTGTGTTTAGGAGGGGACACCAGAAAGTTTCAGCGTGGCTAGCAAAGTTCTAACTTCTGATCTGGGTAGTGGTTTTACTAGGTGGTCATGTGATAATTCACTTAATTGAGCTTTGTTTTATGTGTTTTCTATATTTTTGCTACATTTACAAGAAAAGATTTTAAAAACTAATTAACAAAGAGGATGTACCTGTGTTCCATCCCTGGTGGTCAATACAGTACACAGTTGCAAGCCCTACCAGAGAGAGATGGACAGTCCAAATGTGCCTATTTTGAGCCACCGATCCCCTTGAGTCTGTGACAGCTGCCATCAGTTGCACATGATTCTTTCTCTATTGCCTTTGCAATGACTGGGGCTGTTTCTTCTATGTGGGTGTGGACGTTCGGTAAGTAACTCCACTCTCTGACCCTCTCTCTATCCTTGCCACAGTCATGTGTGGATCTTCTAACTAGGCTGTGACTACCTATCTTGACACCTAGTATACAAATTTCCACCCCAGTCTCAAACTTGCATTCATTTTAGGGATATATCTGGGCACTTTTGAGTAGGCACTTAGCTGCCTAACATTTTCTAAAGTTAATATCTTATATTCAATCACAAAGAACTGAGGCTCAGAGAGACAGGGACTTGCTCAAGGTTAAACTGAGTAAAGAGATCTGAACTCAGTTCTCCAATTACAAATTCTGTGGTTGAATTCGATAGCTAGTTTGCTGAGCTCTCTCTCTTGTACAGGAAGCTAGAGCTACGTCAATATGCCTTTATGTGATCCTGATGACAGGAAATGAAGGCTAGCCCTTCAAAGTGCTGAAATGAAGTGAGAGAGAGAGAGAGAAAATGAACAAACCTTTAAAAAGATATATATAGCCTGAAATAATGAAAGTGATTCGTAGTTAAAAATGTAAACTTTATCAAACTACTGAAAAAATTTTAATATGTCACAGCTAAATCACTTCAGTTGGCTAAAACCCCTCCACAGCCTTCATTGCATGTGGTTCCCGAGTACGCAGTAGAAAGTAGAAGAAAGGACAACTCATCCCGGTTTGCCTGGGATTTCCCTGACTTTTAGCTCAAAGTTCCCTATCCTGGAAGGCCTACAGTCTCGGCAAACTGGTCCCTGGAATGCACATCTCTTTTTTCAGGCTCCAGCAAAGCCAAACGGCTATATAAGGGTCCCCATCTCTTCCTACTGTTGGCCCAGATTTTACTTCATCCTGCTTATTCTTCAGAAACACAAATCAAGCTATTGTGGTTTGGTTTAAATGCTCTCTCCTTCCTGGACTCTTGGAGTTGAAGTAGTGATCTCTTCAACTTGTGAATTCTCAGTGCATTTTATCTGTATCCATCTCAAGACACATAACACTTCTGCTTTACATCATTTTTACATACATGCCTTACCCCTCTTATTGGACTATGAGACATGTGAGGACAGCAGTAACATAAGTCCTGGGCAACCCGAGACGAGTTGGTCAATTGATCTTTGACTTCCTCAAAATACTAGCCTAGTGTCTTTCACACTGCAGGGCTGCAATAGAGGCATAGTGAATGAATGACTGTTATTGGGATATGAGAACAGACCTGATTCT